GATTTTCTGGATCCTTTGAGAAAATTCATAAAAATTCTTGAAGCTATTCAAGAGTCTGTCATTTACTTTCTTGAGCTTAAAGCAAATAAATTTCGCTAGTTTGTTCATTGCTCCATGCTCGTTGTTGACTATTAGTCTTAGAGGATTTCCTTCAAAAGAATGATCAAATAGTTGTTAAGGCAGATAAGGGAGGGGTGACGGTTGTAATGGACAGGAAACAGTACACGGAGAAAATGGAAAGTTACCTTGGCGATCGAAACACTTATCAAATATTAAGGAAGGATCCAACCACGAAGATCAACGGGACACTTAAGAATATGCTCAAGGAAACACAAATGGGGAAATTGACCGATGGATGATGAAATCTTTAATAAAAAATTACGCAATACCACCGACAGCCTACGGAAGATCGAAGATACACAAGGAAGGAAATCCGCTAAGACTAATAGTCAACAACAAGCATAGAGTAATACACAAACTAGCGAAATTCATTTGCTTGAAGCTCAAGAATGTATATGACATACTCCCGAATACCGTCAAGAATTTATATGAATTTTCTCAAAGGGAAGGCATGATAGGAGGGTATAAGAAATGTAAATAGGCCAAGGCAGAAAGGGAGATACCATAACTGTTTAGCACATGTTTGGTCAAAGGATGGGCGAGTTGTAATATGGTGCTACGAATGGCGAGACTCACTGACGATGCCGACGAAACTTTTGGGAATGTATCACGTCCACGGTTCAACTTTGGAAATTATCATGCAGACAATGGACTCCGGACCAAGTGCGTTCCTCTAAGTCTTTAAACAAATATGAGCATGTTGTTAAAACAAGGTCAAACAACCTCTAAAAAACTATTTTTGCTTACAAATGGGTTTTCGAGATTAATATTATAGCATATATATAAGATGAATTCACCCCACTTCCTTAAGCCGGTGAAGGACAGGAAATTGAATTTTCGATAATGATGTGGGTAGACTTTACGTTTCAATTGAATTTCGCATAGTCTTGCTTCGCAAAAAGATATTTATCAGGGGAAAAGTTGACTGTATTTTTAATCTCGCCTAAGTAAGAAGTTGTTCGACCTCGTTGTTGCAATTTGGTCATATTGGTAGAAAGACCTGGAAGGACTTACCTAGTCAGGACTCCATAGCATACATGATAATTTCCATAATCGGAACGTGGACGGGGTACAGTCCTAGAAGTTTTGCCGGCATCGTCAGTGAACAGTGCCAGTCTTAGAACCACATTAAGCGCGTCGGAGACAAGTGAGGCCAATCCTTTGACCAATTGTCTGCTAAATATTCGTGGTATCTCTCCTTCCGCACTAGGCTAAGCAACAATCCTATATCCTTGTATCATACCTTCACAATTCCAATATTTTCTTCCTTAAATGTGATATGGTCTTCCTTTTTGAGTGGATTTAATGAGAACTCTCCGCACCCCACACTGATTTCTCAGTGCCTTCACTTTTGTGCTGGGAATATTGATCAGAGTCTACCCGTTTGCTACTCAGTCTTCCTTCCATAGACCTTATCAGTCTCGCTCTTGCCCCGTAGTATCCGTCTGCTATCTCCTTGGTTCAAGTATTTCACTCGACCCCTGCCACGTCATCTGTGCTACTCGAGGCGTAATTTCCCACATTCTGCCCATGGTAGAATAACTTGAAGCTAAAGCCGCGGCATAATTCTTATGGTCAAGCCTTTGCTTTATGGACCACGTCCATCGTGAAACAGGCCTACTGTCAACTAACGAACTCTAGTCTCCTCTGCGTCTATCCTGTTTAAATCCCTAATACCAAGTCTATGATTGACTATGCCCTAGTCTCTTATATGCCACCCACAAATGTTAAGGCTCAACATTGGAACTAACAAAGCCTCAGGGGCCTTAGCCTCAAAATAGTCTCCCAGAAGCAATGTGGGAAATAACGCCCTGAGTAGCACGGATGGGGTGACAGGGTTCGAGTAAATACTTGAACCAGGGAGATAGCAAACGGATCCTACGGGACAAGAGGGAGACTCTGATAAGTGATGGGGAAGGAGTACCGCGTAACAATAGGGCAAACTCTGATAAACATTCTCAGCACAAGGTTGAAGCAGGGGTGGAAGGGTGGAAAATCCAGTGTGAATTGTGGAGAGTTACAATTGAAGCCGCTCAAAAGGGCACACGATACCACATTTAAATAAGCAAGTAAAAAATTGTGATAGTAAAGGCGTGATACGAGAATATAGAATTGGTGATTTTCCCATGACAGAAGGAAAGATACCATGATATTTTAGCAGACAATTGATCAAAGGATGGGCTTCACTTGTCTCTTTGAGGGGATCTAGTATGGTGCTAAGACAGGCAATGCTCACTGACAATGTCGTCTACGATGCCGGTAAAGCGCCTGGAAGTGTACCACGTCCACTGTCCGACTTTGGAAATTATCATGCATACAACGGACTCCGGACTAGGTGCGTTCATCTTAGTATTCCTACCAATAAAGGATGATGATATCGAGGAACATCAATGAGCTTCTTATTATGATCTATAAATCTGCAGGCAGTAAATCCTGCCCGTTTATATGAAAGTTAATCATCAGGTCTTTTTAACAATAAATGCATCTAAGATTATTTTATATATATATTGTAGCTAATTGGTCAAATGTATCTGAAAGACGCAAAAGTCGTAATGTTGGGAAGCTCATGTAGAAGGGTTAAATAAGAAAAATATTTAGCAATGAACTGGTATGATCCGAATTTTTTTAGCAAGCAGAAATATTAATGAATAGTAATAATAAAAAATTATCATTATGTTAAAAACGAAAGTGTTTTTTTTCTAGTAGATTTACTCTTAAATAAGTCAATAATTCTACCTAAGAGAAAAATACAAAGGTTTCTGGTTAGAAATCCAAATAAAAAGCAGGACAGATTACCTCGATTTGATAGAATTACTGCTGATTGTACGGGCAATGTGAATCGAATTGAATTTTCTGAACTTGGAATTGGCATGCGAGTTCGTGGGCAACAACGCCTCAGTAAGAGGCTAGCTTCAATCAAAACTGCAGCCAAAGTTACTGCTGGCTTGATCTCAACCGGTTGGCCTGCTGTAGGTATGAAATATGAAAAGCCGTAGGTAGGAGAGTGATCCAACGAAGAAGAGATGCAAGCTCTGGACAATTGATTAAAATTCGGATCAAGACGAGGGTCGGGCCCAACGTAGCCCCAACAAACTAGCAAAATAGAATGTAGGCCACCTGCCAAGATAAACGCTTTGCGGCCTGATCCTGTCAGTGAATTTTATTGACAGCGAAAATATAAAATAAAAACGGAAAATATAGGTAAATATAGTTTAATCGAAGATATGAAGACCAAGATGATGTGGTCTTTTGTGTGGTCGCAGTCTCCTTTTGTTGTATAAAGGTTGTTTTACCTTGCTTTCGCAACTTGGTCATATTGGTAGGAAGACTTAGAGTAATGCACCTAGTCCGGTGTCCAGTGTATTCATGATAATTTCCAAAGTCGAACCTTGGACGTGGTACATTCCCAGACGTTTCGCTGTCAAGAGACAAGTTTCTTTGACGAGCTGTAGTATGGTGTTAATAATGGCAAGACTCACTGACGATGCCGGCGAAACGTCTGGAGATGTACTACGTCCACAGTCCCACTTAAGAAATTACCATCTATACAATGGACTCTGGACTAGGTGCGTTCCTCTAAGTCTTCATACCAATATGACTAAGTTGCGAAAACAGGGTCAAACAACTTCTATAGATAAACATAGTTGATTAACCAAATCACCACGCGCAGATATTATAAAATTCATTTTAAAAATTAGAGCAACATTAGGTAAATATATTAGTCAATAATTTTAGCATCAAATAATATATTATAATAAATTTTAGTAAAATCGTTAAGGAGTCATTTATTCATAATCAGTACAAGTTTAAAAGGGGATCTATCCAGTAGTTGATAGGAATAAAAAGATAAAAACTACTAATTTGGTAATTATTAAAGAAAAGGAGGCTAAAAAGGTATAAGTAGAAGAGCAGACCAGAGAAACCAGATTCTATAAACTCAATAAGG